AAGAAAAAAAAGAAAATAAAAACAAATAAAAAAAATATAAGCAAATAAAAAAAATAAATTAAAATAAAAAAAATATTCAAATCAGTTCAAGTGTGCTTAAAATTTGATATTTTCATATTTGAACCTAAAAAAATTATTTAATATTTTTAATATTGAATACAGCTAAACTAACGATTAAATAACAAATCACATAAAATTCAACTAACGCCAATAATTTATTAATATATTTTCTTCATCAATCAAGTTCTTAATGGGTTGATCGTAGAGTAAGAACTCTGCTCAAATTTACGCTGCTCATTTCAAATTTAATCTTTACCAGTCCCAGTTCAACTCAGAAGTTAAATAAAATTCCTAATAACTCAACTCATCCTGTTCCCATTTTGTTAGCTAAGCTTTATCAATTCCAGCTCTGTGCAATAGCCAAATAGAAATCTAGCTTTATTCAAGCTAAATTTCAGCAAATAAAGAGTAAAAGCATATTGAAGCTGAGACTATTTGTAATACGCTTTCCTGGCTCCATATTAAATCCTTAGCTAAGCCTTTGATACTCTTTCAAGCCGAAATTGAGGCTGGCCAATAGCCAGCTGGAAATCGATGTACTATGTGGCGAGCAGTTGGAAGTCCATGGCAATTTTCTCTCCATATTTCTGGCTGCTGCGAACGTGCCGCGTGCAGCGGGTGGTGCAGCAGGCAGGAAGGTGGTTTGCGGCTGTTGCTGTTGCAGTTGCTGGTGTTGGTGTTGATGTCGTTACAATGGATGGCAGGAGGCAGGAGGTGGGAGACTAGAAACTGTATTGGGGATGCTCTGGCAAACAATGAGAATGAGAACGAGAACGAGAACGAGAATGGGATTGAGAATGAGAATGATGGCGCGCATCTCAGTGCATACGCTGCAAAGATTAGTGCAGCGCTGAGCGTGCTGTGCATCTAAGAGTTGTTGCAACTGTAGCAAACTTTTACTTATTGTCCGCGCAGTTGTTTATTTCAATTTTTTGTTATTTTTTGTTTTTTTTCGGCTCGCCAATGCTTTTGCTTTTGGGTTAGGGTCTCCCGACTGATACTGCTGCTGCTGTTGTTGTTGTTGTTGTTGTCGTTTTGGCTGTTTGCATTTAATGCGCCCAGGAACAGGGACGTGTTCTGCCGCGAATTCGTGAAACGTGATGCTGCAAAAGTCGTTCGCTTTTTACGTTTCGCTCTGCGCTCGGTTGGCTGTTTGTTCGTTCGTTTGTTGGCTTGGATTCTCCTCGATTTCGACTGCCCTTGCATATTGTTTTATAGGATGCGGATGCTGCCATAGTCAGTGCCATTGCCAGTGCCAAAGCCATGGCCAATGCCAGTGGCAACTGACTTTGACTTTGCTCGCAATTTGAATGGCTCTGCTTTGGCTCTGGCTCTGGCTTTGGCTTTGGCTTTGGCTTGGGCTCTGGCGAATCGAAAGAGCTGTCCTTGTTATGGGAGCATGGCATTGTTAGCTGGAGCGACGACAGCCGCTGGTACCTATTAAGGGTACATGAGAACTTTCCACCGTAAAGGGCAAATGCGCGCTATGAAAATGAAAGCCAAATTGGCAAACGGAAAGTTCCAAAATGAAAAATGTTTGCGTTTTCGTGTCCTAATTGGTGTGGCTAACGTTTGTCGCGCCAACTACGACCAAATCAACAAATATAATATCGAAGAACTCGATGATGATGATGATGGTGATGATAATGATGATTATAATGTTGATGATAATGTTGATGATGAGGAAGAAGAACATTATAAATAATGGCACCTGGAGCGCCAACATGACAGCTAGAAAAACGATTTGAGAAACTTAGAACTTTCCATAGAAGTTGGGAACTACCCAAGATTGGAGGCCATTGACTGTTTGACTCTTTGACTGTTTGACTGAGTGAGTGATTGAGTGAGTGACTGTTTGATTGATTGATTGACTGACGCGCGCGCACTCGCGCTCGCGCTTTTGAGCTGTTAACAATCTCATTGTGGCCACGTACAAGTTGGCAATGTAATTAATTGCTTTCCAACCTGTGCGCTTGGAAAGTGTCCAAATCGCAATGAGCCAACAGCAGCAGCACAAAAAGAAGAAGAAGCAGAAGCAGCTGAGGTAGCAGCGGCAGCAACGCCCGAAGAACCCGCACACACAAATACTAAAGTGGGTCAAAGTGGTTAAAGACACTGGCCAAAAGGCAAAGAATGCGAATGTTGCAACTTGAGGCGACTTCAAAATTCATTCAAAATGATATGAAAATTACGAGGGCTGCACTAACAGTTGGCAACACCCGCTGCGCCACAAATTGCACTCAAGTTCAGTGAACCGCGTGAAAACTACGAAAACGTAACTAATTTTCGTTGAGTGTGTATGAGTCAAGCCTAAAACATCAATCAAAGCCAAATTAAGCGTAAAATGCTGTGCAGGAAACAAAGCGTCAAAGTCAAGACACACAAAAAAAAAAAAAAAAAAATAAAGCACAAAGCACAACAAGAGACACACACACACACACACACACACACACGCACACACGCACACAAAGAGACAGCGACGAGTGCAGTGCAAAAGGTTAGGCCCGCACCAGGAAAGCAAAGCCCGCATATACTATAAATACACACGCACACACACACACACACACTGCCTGCACTGCCTCCATAACCATGGCCAAGACAATCAATCAAAGCGCTTTCCAAAGAAAGGCAACAAAAAGACCAAAAACAAGAAGACAGCAGCTACAACAACAACAACAACAACAACAAAAAGTGCAAGCCGGCCTCAGCTAATTTTAAAAGTCAGCCCCTACTGCAGTCGCAGCTCCAATTGCAGCTCATTTGCATACAGCGCTGAGTTATGGATGAGCTGTTGGTGTGGGCAGCAGCCAAGAATTGGCACACGCACAAAGAGGCTGCCAGAGATGTCCGTGTGTGTGTGTGTGAGTGTGTGCGTGTGTGTTTTATGCAAATCTTTAAGCCGACAAACAGTTTCCTGATAAATGCACATACATATATATATACATACATATATATTTATATAGTATATGTGCAGCTGGCAAACCGTTATATGCGCGATTTCCACAAATTTGATAAAGCAAAGCCGGCGGCTGAAACAAAAGACTTAGGCAACAAACTTGCGTGTGATAAGACTTGAAAGTATATTAAACTAAAATGATGCAACAGAAAATAAAGAGACTAAGGAACGAAGAAGATGAATGAAGAAGCAAAGGTAGATCGTAAAGTTGATGATTTATATGGTAACCTAATGGAACGAAATTAGAAAATGAAGATGAACTATATACATATATGAATTATGTATATACATATATGAATGAGAGTACAACTTCTCATAATATGTATATATAGAAAAACATACATAAAACATAATATTGCATTTAAATACTTATAAATTCGTCAAATCGGATTTTTATGGGGAATACCTTTTCAGATGATACTTAATATGAAAATAAGAAAAGCATTTGTTATGCATAAACTAAAAAGTAGAAGAAGAAGATAATCAATGTCAAAATGGAATCAAATTGACAAATGAAGCCAAAAAAGAGAAGAGTTTGAATGAAAGTTAGGATGAATGACCGATATGAGTACATATAATCCATATGAATATATGAATACATATATTAATATATACATGCATACGATATAAAATGATATATGTACATATATAGATATTTATATGTTAAATATTATACGAGTCGAATGTGATGAATGAATGAATTAGATAGAAGCATAAGGTTGACTGAAAGCTTGAATGAAATATTCATCAAAGCGCCGCTGTATAAATAGAAGAACTGTATACTATAAAGATATCCTATATACAGATATAAAAACATATATGATAACCAGCATACCCTGTAAAAAAAAAGGTTCAGTATAGGTTCCTGATATATGTAGAATTCGAATTGTAGCTAGAAATGAAATAACTAGTCCAGACACAATTGACACAGATCCAGACTTATAGAATACAAATATATAGCTAGCTCTATAGATATGTATATGATATGTATATGTATATACAACCATGATATATACAATAATATAATAATATTTTCATGATATGTGCAATACGAATTTCTATCAAAAATTAACTGTATACAGAAACCTATGGACATAAGACTATACCAAAGCAATGCATACCCTATAACTGTACACCCTATAGAACTTTAAGCTTAACTTATTAACTCTTAAGCTCACACACACACACATACGCACACTTGACGTTTATTTGATGTGCTTTTGTCTACTTGGCTTTGGCCGTGTCTGTTTTGCCGGCATCAAGTCAAAAGGCGAACGCGTCGCCGTCATAAACCTTTCGATAGGCGGCGCTGCTTTGGCTACGCCTTGACCGCGCATCGACCCAAACTTGCGCTTGGTTTGTTCTTTTTCAATTTAATATATGTTCTTTCTCTCTCCTGCTGCTTGTTCTTCTTCTTATATTTTATTATTAAGCGTTACGTGCGCAGCATTTGAAAGGCAAACGCAGGTTGCATTTCCCTGCGCTGCATTTGTTGCTGTGCATTTTTAATTTGTTGTATGTTTGATTGCGCGTTGCGCGACGCCGAGAGAAATTAAAAAACAATATTTAATCAGCGCACATAATCTGCATTTTAAAATTGAGTTTCCACTCAGAGCGCGGACTGCGGGCGCTTTTGGGTGTTGACCATTTAACGCGTCGAGCAGGCAGCTGCCCCGCCGAGCCCGCCTGAAAGCCCTGTGAAAAGAATTTGTTAGATTTTAATCGCTGAGCTGCGTTTTCGCTCGAATAAAAAATAATAAAAATAAAACTGAAAAAAAAGGTTCAGTTTGGCTTGGCTTGGCTTGGCTTGACTTGGGTTGAGTTGGCGCAAAGCCATAAAAATCAAATCAGCGGATCGGACGATGACGACGTCGTCGACGACTTCCTTGAAATCAAAGTCAACTTCGGCTCAACGTTTGATTCATTTGGTAGACTTGGCTTTATATGCTTCATATCTTTTTTTGACCGCAAGAACCTTGCTCTGGTTGGGGCTGGGGCGGGCGGGTGCCAGGGTAGCTGCACTGGGCTAGAGGGTTTTGCGCTTGTTAATCCTTTGACGTGACGTCTGTTCATAATTTGCGCTCATATTTCATCAGCTATGCATGCGGCTGTGTAGTCCAGAACTTTGGCCTTGCGGCAATTTTGAAAGGTTCTCTGATTGAATATTCTAAAGTAAGTTTGTCGTAAATCATTGGCCCAGACAGCTGTGGCCCCAGCCCCAGCTCTCGACTTCGAGCTGTTCTCCAAAACAAAACAAAACCCTTTTCACACACACACACATATATAAATATTAATGCGAGTGCACATGATAATATGCATATGCTGAACGCAACTATTACATCAGTTAAATGCCTTTCATCGGCTCTTTGTCATACGAAATGGCAAAAGCCAACAACAACAACAGCAACAAAAAGTCGCACAGTCAATGATGCCGTTTCGTTCGTTCAGTCAACCCAAAAAAAAAATTACAAACAAGAGCTCACATTCTAAATGCCAATCGTTGGCTATAAATAAAAGAGTCAAAGAGCTCAGAGCTCGGAGCTTGCTTTTAATTTTAATGAACCATAAAAATTCACACGCACAATGATGATGATGGGCAGCAACAAAATAGTATTACGATACCAAGACTCAGTTGACACAGAGTCAAAAAAAAAAAATGGAAATGAAAATGTTAATGAAATCCAAAGAGACGCTAACAAAACAAATCAACAGCTAGAGCTGGGGTATGGGAGTCTCTCTGGGAGTTTGTTCGTTTTTCTCAGCAAACAAATCCCGAAGAACCAGAAGAAGAAGCTGAACAAACCAAAAGAGACTCAAAATTCGAAAGAAAACTATTAAACAACTGTCCGAGTCTTATCGCAGAGAATCGCTCGTACAGCGTTTGCTTAGAAATTAGAGACGAAAACACAAACTTTTTGTTTCTCTCCCAGTGTGCGTGTGTGTGTGTGCGTGTGTGTGAAGAAAGGCCTTACCTAGAGACCGGTTTAACAGCGCGCTGTTAACTCACTGTTAAAATGTACGCTAGCTGCGACGTCGACAGCGACTGCGACTGCGACGCCGACTGCATTGTTCTGGGCACTCAACTCAACCGACAGCTCTCAGAACCGTAGCTCGCATTTCATTAGCTCCACAGCCAGCGACCGGTTCATAACACAATCAGCAGTCCGCGCCGTCGTCGTCGTTGTTGTCGTTGTCGTAGTTGTCGCTGAGAACTGTGCGCGTGCGCGTTTGCGTTTACGTTTACGTTTTAGTTTACGTTTACGTCTACGGCCCACGCGAGACACTCGGCAAAGTAGCTGATGCGGTAAACAGTCGTCACTCGATATACGCAACAAAAACAGAATATACTACTACTAGATACAGTGTACATAATCAATGTGAGAAGAGATTTACAGCATTTGGTGGATGCTGAGTTTCGTTATGCAAATCAAATGCGTGAAAGTAAACAAATTCTTTGTGTACCAAATTTGGTTAGTTTTGTGAAATTCGCCAGTTAAAGAAAAGAAATTTATTTGCCATTACGTGTTGTATTATGAAATGCGCGTAAAAGTCGCGTAATCAACAACAACAACAACAACAACAGCAACAGCAACGAGAGCTGTAAAACAAGGCAAATAGAAAACAAAAATTCAAGTCAAGAAATTGCCGCCAATGAGTAATGAAAGTACCTCTCTTTCACGCACTCTACATCTATGTGTTATATGTGTGTGTGCGTGTGCGTGCGTGTTAATTGATTGGCAAAAGGTGTAAATCTTTATGGTACATATTTAACGGCATTTCTTTCAATATATAATATATACATACCTATATACATTTTGTGGAGCAGAGCGAGTGATTGTCCGCATTGGAGGTGAGCAATAATAGCAATAAATATGTAAATCTCTGAAATAAAAATATAAATCCAAAAAAATATTTGATATCATTTAAAAGTAATTAGCGTCATGCTCTAGAAATTGGGTTAAATGTGAAAATTATTATTCTGTCTGCGATTATGTGTGAGTCTGCGCATGTGTGTTTGTGTGAGTGTGTGAAGCTGGTGTGAAATTTGTTCACATTAAATGTCAAGAATAAATTTTGAATATCAATTCTTTAAAAAAAAAAAAAAGCTTGTGAAATAGACAAAAACAAAGAGTTCAAAATATAATAGCGAATAATTATTAGTTAAATAAATTATTAATTAGCAATATAGATTTTAATTATAAATAAACAGTATTAAAAAACTATTAGGTAAATATAAAAACCCCACATAAAACTAAATGAATATTTATTAAATCAAAATAATAATTATAGATTTGTCTTGCATTATCTGCAAACTAATCAAATATTGATGAATAATTAATATTAATGAGTAAAGTAATAAGAAGCTAAATTTAGTTCAAATGAGTCAACTCAAATGAAAAAACTCAAAATTTAAATATATAAATAGGTTCGAGACAACGAAAATTCTGTTTAATTTGGTTTTGAAATTCATATGAATAATTTAAAAACCA